ACAAAATATATACCAACTGCCAGTGCGGTCTATGATCAACGATATTTTCGTCGGTTTTGCCGCACATTCCTGAGCATCTGAATTTTCTGACCCTGAAGCTTTCCATGGAAATTATAATACAATGATCCAGGAATGGTTCTGAAAAAGGATTGTGATATGCTCACTAATTAACTGTTTTGTTAGAGTTCTACTTACTGGGAAGTAAAATGCATCAAGACTTGTCCTTTGTATGTCCTTTTAATCCACCTCCATAGAACGTATGAGAACACTGGCGGAAACTCAATTTTAAAAATTAATTTAATTGCACCAGTATTGACGGATATTGTCATTTGGAGTAAACAAACCTTAGCAACGGGTAAATCGATTAGAAAAACTGCAGCACTCATCAGTGTTGCCATTTCATATAATATTTTTCGAGTCTTACGTATCAGCGTGTGCCTTAACGTGCCGAACAGTGAGTCATACTGTGGTTCGGCACAGTGTGCAGAGTTGATTCCTCCTTGGTGTCGATGCATTTCACACCATACTTATTGCACATGGAAGGTTCATAGTAGGCCATGCTGATAAATTGACGTATTTGTATTTTGCAGAGTGATTTCCTCGCGAAACAAAAAATCATTTTTAATATCTAATAATTGTAAACAATCACTTCAATCGACGATTTGTCTTAACTGCTAACTCACCCATGCAAAAAAAAAAACACCATCATCATGTAGGGAAATCTTTCCCCTACTACATAGCTGGTGTTGTTAGTTTCTGTGAGTGAGCTATCAGTTGCCAAAGATCGTCGATTGAAGTGATTGTTTACAAAATAAGATACGTCGATTTGAATAGTTACGCTTGAAATGTGAATCGAATTGCAGACATAGACAAAGTGCATTGTGTGTAGTGACTAAATTTAATGCTACTTCCTGCCGTTGCTTTGGCAATTGGCATTGGTGCATATTGAACTTCGGAAGGACAGCAGTTTGTTCCACCTGACGCCGACGCTCAGGAAATTAGGTTTTTGCCTTTCATTTCTGTAGCTCTTATAACTTGAAACCAATAAATTAGCTAAAATTAATTAAATACGTGTCAATTTAGTATTGCACTAGCCGTTAAAATCGAAAAATTTAATACAAATATGTATTTGCATCGATTTTGAATTGCCAGTCATTCAATTTTTTTTTAAATTTGTAAGAAACTGTGGACTGTTTGAAAGTTCGTTTGTGTCAATTTGTTAAAACAGCAACGAGTGATGTATAGAATTATTATAAATTTTGTTTCGATATGGTGGCAGAGAGTGACTAGTAGTACAACTACATGTGGATCGCGTTCTCTACTGTTGAGAGATTCCGATAGTTAAAAGATCTGTTTCTCAGATTATAGAAGGTGCAGTAAGTTCAGCAAGATGAACGTCAGTCTTCTGCGGTATGGACGGACACCTAAATTCATCCAAAACTGTACATTATATCCATTTCATGCAGCTTATTTTACAAAAAGTGACTATTTATATTTTTCAAGAGACTCCAGTTTGATAGCACTTTCCAGTACAACATTCCGGTGCGGATGCAAACTAGTTCCCATTTGCACTCCCGTTCTGATTCTTTTATAATTAAACAGTAAACCGTGAATATTTACATCCCAAAGTGAAACATCATCGCTACTTCTCGCCGTACCTGACGTTACAATTCACTTCCGGAGAAATCGCATCGCAGGCTTACAACCAACACGGCATTCCATAACGTTTCACCGGAATCAAACCCCTAAAAGGTCGGAACACAAAAAAAGGCCAACACGTCTAACTGACTGGGTGGCTCCCTTGAACATTTAGGCTGTTTCAGTAACTGGGAAAAACGAGCTCCGGTCGGTCGGTGCTGCCTTTTCGGTGGTTATAATTAGGCAAATTATGCATTCATTAACACCATCCAAACGGCACAACATCTTCCTTTACTTCGCCGCTTGTTCATCTTCGCTGTTGAAGGGAAGGTCTTCGGGGAGGGCCTCCGCTCAAATACTGCGGCAGAACCGCTCATCTGGGAAAGTTCAACAATTATATTACCCTCAGATGAGAGAGGAAGTGCACACTGGTACAGAGGTGGTGCAGAGCAGGTGTTTTGTTTAAATGGGTGGTTCTGAAATGGAGACGAACGGTCCTTTATTGGCATAAGTAAGATGAGGTGTTTTCGGTGTGTGGCAGGAAGGGGGACAAAATAAATACGACTAATGGAAATTTATTATTTAGATTTCTCCTCTTTCCACAGAGTTGCAAGTAAATCTTTAATCCAGTATTCTTCGGAGAAGAAAGCGTGGCGGTAGATGCCCTGTTGTACAGAATATTTAGCTGTTTACGGTGGAAATTATTGCTGATGTTTAGAAATTGGCCTTTTCTTCTGTCTGTTACCTGTCTTGCGTGAGTGAGACTAAGTAGGAAGGGGAATGAAAATAGGAAAAGTTAGATTGCAAAAGTGAATGAATGAGGTATAATTTAACCTGTGCGTGCGTGTGTTTTGAGTGCGGATACGCTTATTAAGATTAATTGCTTGGCATTACGGACTGAACCGAAGGTAGTCAGTCGGAGATAGCTGGATCGGTTGGCAACAGTGACAAAGGTGGGAAGGAGATATTTTTCTTCCAAAAGGCAGCCGTGGTGTGACAGTCCATCGCTTTCGTGTGGATAAGCTAAGCAGGCTGATGTCTCCCCGGCGGAAGAGGGTCTAACGGTTGAATGAATTGGGGTAATCCCCAAGAGCACGTGTCTCATTTCTTTCCAACCATGCGTTGGCTTCCATGTGTGCATCTGGCGATGGTTTCGGTTTCAATTTGTGGGTGCAGAAAGGTTAGACGTGATTGGTGCGGCCGACTCTCCGGCGGCGACGGTGTGAAAAATGAGCCGAAATGTCCCGGTTGATGTTCACGCCATCAGTCAATGGGAAAAGCGGTTCAACACATGGTATCCATGTAGGGTTAAAGTGTTAAATCAATCCTGCGGTTTTATCAATCTGGCTAGAAAATTGAAGTTTTGCTACGTTGAATTGATTGCTAGGTGGTCTGGAATGGCTATCGGGGGATTATAGTCTGATGGTTTTTAGAGCTTGAAGTGAATAATGCCGGAGTCAAATGATAGCAGAAATAAAATTTTCTCTTTTGATTCCAAAGGGGCTCAAGATAATTTTTCTTTAAAATTAATTCCGTGTTTTGTCAAATTTTGCCAGATTTCCTGATTATTTCGATCAGTACTTTATCAGATGCAAAAATGATGTTTATTCAAATAAGTCTTAACTGCATTGGAAAATAGTTACAATACTTTTTAATTATAATACTTCATCGATTGTAAGATGCATGCTAGCAAATGCTCTCAACATCATTAAGGAAACATTGTCTTCGAATAATTTAAATTGTGACTCTCTGAAAACAAAATTGACAAGTTTTATTTGTAGAACACGTGATTTACATCCTATTCTTGTAACTTACTAGTACAAAATATCATCTTAACATCTAATGATTACGTAATTCCAAAAATCATTTTTTATAGCTAAATAACCCAAGCAACACAAGTAATGTATCTGTTTATATGTATCCTTTGTATGGCTGGTTTTGTTTTAAAGAAGTTTACCTATCATAATTCTATGAAACTCACCCCAAAGGGCCTGGGTTTAATCCCAGTCGTAACGCCGGTATTTTCTGAGGCTTAAAATCTCTGATCACGCCTAGTAAGTAAATCCCATGAGTTGATAGGTCGATAGGTAGGGTCCAAGTGTGGGAGCTGCCTCCCTGGCGTCGGTAGCATTGGTACTCAGTACGGAAAACAATATCGACAGAAAACAAATCAATTAAAAAAACTCTATGAATATTTGTTACTTGGAGAGTATTTCCAACCATGTTTAAATCTCGTTTCCGGTCAAGTTTCGATTGACTAAACATGTGTTAAAGAGACTAGTTTTGGCAAATTTCGCCGAGCCACGTGAATAGAGAGTTTTTCAAAAACCACGGGGTATCACATTTGACATACTTAACTGCCTCAACATAAAGGTTCATCTACCCAGAACTTCAATATCTTTCTGAACACATGACATCCCATGATGCAGGGCTTGACATCATCCGTCTGCGGATGAACGTGACTTTAGCAAGAAAATGAAATGAAACTGAAAACACGCACGCAAAAAATATGCAGCTTACTCCTGGCCTTAGGGGAGGCAAAGAATTATGCGAGAAACGACAATGAAACATGATTTAAAAAGTTTTATTGTAAAACGCTTCCACCAACCAACCAGCAGTCTACGACCGTACACGCACCTCCTCTATAAAAAAGGCACAATGTGTCATTGTATGTATCATGAAATAGCTTTATGAGGGGCGGGGATGAGTGGAAAAGTTAATTTAGAACGAAGAAAAATTACGGGCCGTCATCAACCGTTAGAAAGCGGGCCCTCATCGCTCGACGTGTTGTGATAAGCTCAATTCACCCTGCCCCTGCTTCCGCTTAGCAAGGGCTCCTACCCACCTCGCATCGGTCGGTGGTCTGTGGGATGATGAGGGAAAAGTCAAACGGCGTATCTTAAGTGCCTGGGTATGAAATTTGAGAACGCGAATTTGAATGAAGAAAATCATCAATCATGGTTTGGGATGATGTGGATGAGCTGATCCCATGAGCGTCGAGAAAAATGGGTTCTTCTACTTCTTCTAGGATTTTTACGCTTCTGTAGCGAGTGTTTTGCTGGCTCTCTACTTAGTGCTCTAGATTCACTTCCACAGTTATCAATCGAGAGCTTTCTATGCCAACCAATGCATGAATTTGTAGCCCAGGGAAGTCGAGAAAATTTCCAACCACAAAGATTTCCTCAAACGAACCGGGAATCGAACTCGCCGCCCCCTCCTTGCTAATATCGTGCCTGTACTGATTAGGCTATCTAATATAAATGGATTCTGCATGGAATTTGTCCACATCTTTTAAAATTGAGCATTGATCTATTTAATTTTACCATTAATTACTAACCCCTATCTTTCCTATCCCCTTCCAGGCGTGCGTTCTTGCTCTATCCTTACTGCTGGTGGTAGGCTTCGGGTCGTACTACACTGGAGGTCCAGCGGAAGTATTCAGTCGTGCCCAGGACAACTCACGCATTGAATTATTCAAGTAGGTTTCAGATTTAATTAAATCTTCTTTTTTCACGCACAATCATTCCCACCTGCCTCCCTCGTTTCGTTCAAGTGCTGATAAATCTATCCTTTTTATCCAGTTCCGGAACTCTTCGCAGCTTTCCGGTCCCCAGGGCAGTAGGTTAACATTTTTTCCAGTTTCATACTTTTCACCTGACAGTCTCCAAGGGCTGATTCATGCTTCGGATTTTCTTGCCAGCAGGAGGACACTCGAGTAGGAATTCAAAAAAAAATGCGTTGAAAACACGCCTATTTGGAACCGGTCCGGGTTAATGTTTTATTCAAGCGACTGTAGGTTTGGCTGGTGTATTCTGTTGTTTCCACCGTGTCTCGCAAAGGCAGAAGGTTTCCTTTTATTTCGCCGGTATTTTTTATTTGCGAATTTTTATATTTCTGTGACGTCGGTCGGAACCACGCGCATGAAACGGAAGAGCCAGCCTCTGGTCCTGTTTGATTCTGCTGCTGCTGCGGGAATGGAGGTTCCTGTTCACACAAGTTCATAAATATTAATTATTCACATTATCATCATCTGTGTGCCAGCGCCGGTGGAGTTCGGGACAGATGCCGCACTGCTTTCGGTTGTTATTTCGCTCCTTTTGTAGGGGTGAGCCTCGATATGTCTACAGCATTCGATATCCGGTTGGTGAGATCTACGGAGACGGTGTCAGGGTTGAAACTACGAATTTTCTTCTGAAGAAGTGAAAACAAAAAGTTGTAAACTGTATCTAATGTTATCTGTAGCTTAATTTGCTTCGGAGTTATTAACGAAATGTTGATATCCTTGGGAAACAGAAAATGCTCCCATGCACCGAGGGGTGGATCTATTGGCACTCAAATGTGGAGTATCTCTACCGAATCGGAAGCTGTCACATTTTGATTTTATAAATTTTCTCGGTCACTTGTGGTGTAGGCGGTCACAGTAGTCGACGTATTTTCTGTGTTAATCCGTTGCCTTTCTTTCTGACTCTCGCAACACAAGCTTTCAAAATACCGTATGCGTGATAATGTTTGCACCATCGTACAAATAAGGTTCCCATTTCACCTGTGCATACAATGCCTTGGTTTTCTTTGCATGCACGTAACCTATAGCTCATACCGTAGTAGGCGGTGCATAAAAGAAAATGATTTACTTAGTTTGACAGTTGCACCATGACGAAGTGGCAGCGTATTCGTGATTTATCCCACGCGCAAATGTCGCAAAAAGACATTTCAATCGCCACGGGAGTGGCCGTCAAAAGGGTTTTAGATCGAGATTCGGGTGAATCCAGTGCGTTCAATTAGGAAAATGGCAAAGGAACACGGGATCAGTGACTTTACGGGACGGAAGATCGTAAAGGAAGATTGCGGGGTGAAGTCGAGGGCACGAAAAAAAAAACTCACATGATTACCAACCGCATTCGGGAGCTACGAGTCGAACGATGCAAGAAAATCTTGAACTTCCTTAAGCGAAAAAATCCGGTAATCCTGTTCACCGACGAGAGCATGTTTACCGTCGATCCGGTATCAAATTCCAGAACCGACCGGTATATTAGTTCTCTTCCGGTAAACGACGTGACCGACGAGCACAAGAACGTGTATCTGACCAAGCATCCTGCTAGCGTTGAGGTGTTTGGATTTTTTGGCTTCCGATGGCATAAAAATGGACCCGGTGTTCATTCCAGAAGGCAACAAGGTCAACACGGAGGTCTACATCGGGATTTTAAGTTAGTATGTCCTTCTGTGGATCAAAGAACAGTACGGTCCGAAGCCAAATGTTGTATTTCAACAAGATGGGACTCCGTGCCATACCTCGAACCGCACTCAGAAGTGTTTGCAGGAACATTAGTTGCACGTTCTGGGTGAAGGATATGTGGCCGCCATCCAGCCCCGATATTAATCCGCTGGATTACTCAATATGGCGCATCATGAAGGCCAAGGACTGTTCTAAACGCCACCCGAGTACAGCAAGCCTCAGACAAACATTGACCCGTACCTGGAGAGAATTGGATCCAGACTACATTATTAGAACCTGCCGTGCATTCCGGAAGCGTGTGGAGGCCGCAATTGCAGCAAGTGGAAACTCGATCGATGATTAACATTGTTTTAGACTCTGAGAAACATCCCCCCTTTGAATAAATTAAAAAAAACTCGAAGCGAAATTTTTGAGAATTCTTTTAATGTTGACATTGCTCAATGGTGCAAACATTATCACGCATACGGTACAGTACAAACTAAAATGTCATATTGCTCTCATACGACCGTGCCACCGAAGAATTAGTACGAAATAACGCTGTTGATATGATAGTTATTTGATAGTTTTTCTTACCGCTCGTGCTGTGCGAGAGAAGTGATGGTAAAGCACGCCAACGGTGCGAATGTTACTACATAAAAGCACTCACCGTTTACATCTTTTGAGCAGACTAGAGTTTCCATTTCCCGGACTTTCGAGAATCGAAAAACAGCTAATAGCACTTCCCGAGAATTCTCGGTTTACGGGAAAACCTTAAATCCAGTAACCAGATATGCTCTTAAAAATGCTTATTTTAAATAATTATAACCACTAAGTATTAACCAGCTAACTTCGCTGGAAGATTCTTCCAAAATCAAAATGGAAGTCTCTCCCGGAATAAAATGCAGACTTCAATCAGATAAAGATTTCACGGGCATTCACAAGAACCTTAATACCTATTTTGCTTTATGAAATTCCGCATTGCGCGAAGAATGATGGTACAAGGATTCACTTTATTTTTTTTTTATTAAAAATTGTTTTTTTTTTTTTAAATACATGGTTTTTAAAACCAGAAAATTTTTAAATCTTTGACAATGAAAACCAGGAAAAAAACAAGAATTTCAAAATGGAAATTCACTTGCCACCCTGCAAGTACGTGGATGTAATGTCGGTCTACTGATGAACCTCAATCTACAAAGGCATGTGAAATCGCGCTTCTTTTTAACTCCTTATCATTCATACGTAACCACATTGTTGACGTCACTTACACTTCTCGAGTAAGAACTGATGAGGAAGAAAGAGACAGTGGTTTCTTTCCGGGTGATCCAGATGATCGTGGGGCATTACGTGGGGCCATACGTTTATTTACGGGCATTATTTAAATACGGCCCGCCTGACGTATGCATGTTGGAAAGGGATGGAAAATCGTGCTATAAGCAGAAGGACAAGAGCAGATGATAGCATCAAAAATGTGACCCCCGAGTCAGGCCCCTGCAGATGACATAAATTACGATGCTTTACGAATAAAAATAAAAGCCAAATAGATCAACTCACCTCCACACATATAACGAACTGTCAAATCAAGTCAAGCCGAACAAGGCATTTTTTCCTGGAATTATCAGATATTTCTTAAAGTTCACAGTACTTTCCTAATGTTATTAAATTTCCCCTGCGGTTCACAAACCTTCTTAAAGTTTGCAAAAACTTCCTGACGTTTAATGACCTTGTTTTCATTAAATACATATAATGTTCTCTTGAAGTTCATAGAACTTACCAGGAAGACATTGAACTCCCCTGAAGCTCACAAAACGTCCCTGAAGTTGACAGAATTCTCCTGAAGTTTTTAGAACTTCTCTGAAGATCGAAGCACATCTTTAAAGTTTGAAGAATTTTCCTGAAGTTTGCAGAACTTCCCTGAAGTACAATGAACTTCTCTGATTCTAAAATTCACTACAGTTCTCTATAGTTCACAGAATTTCCAAAGAAAGTCGCAGAACCTTCCTGAAAGTTTCCTTAGACAAAATATGGGATCTGCAATGAAGCTCTAGCAATTCTGTAGTAATTCATGGTGAGGACTCCCTAAACTCACTGGGTAAGAGTAGTTTACCTCATGTGAGTTTAATTCCTGTATTATCGGTATTATCGGTTAAACGATTTTCAAACAAATTCGTCGTTGGTGCCAGTCTTTATTTTCGATCTCACCGTTGAGTTAAACATCTATATTTTATTTTTTTAAATACAAGCAAATTTTCCGCCCCTCAGGATGTTTTGCTGGAAAATGCAACCTTTGCCACCTGCTGAGTACGGGACACAAAACTTTCGGATACCTACTATCTCCTTTATTGAACTCCTGTAAAAATCTTTCAGCGATCGTCGCTCCTAAAGTGGCGTGATTTTTTTACAAAGTCGTTTGTTTGTTTTCAATTTTTACAGAGAGATTGTTTTGTTTTCAATTTTTACAGATTGTCTACACGATACATATCTATAAAAAAACACTGAAATATGACGAAAATCAACGCCTACTATGATTACGTGTCTGTATTCAACTGTCATGTTCGTTTCTTTCGCTTTTACTCTTATGAGGGAAGATAAATTAAAGAAGATGGTTTGAATTGAAGATGAATATGATTTCGCGCAAAGTCGACATAATCAATACGTATCTTACTAGAGAGTTCAAGAGAACTCTTTAATACCATTTGGATTAATTCAATAAATTGTTGAACCTTATTTAATTGCATTTGTTCAATTCGGAATAGCTAGCGGCGTAGGTGGTGTAGTGGTAAACGTAATTAGCTCTCACCCCAGCAGGTCTGGGTTCAATCCCAGTTGGCGCCGCCGGGATGTTCTGAGGCATAACATTTCTGATCACGCCTTCCTTCGAAAGGGAAGTAAAGCTGTTGGTCCCCGGTTCACGAGTTTATGAGTCGATAGGAAGGGTCCAGGTGTAGGAGCTGCCTCACTGGCGTCTTTAGCAATGGTGCTCAGCACGGAAAACAAGATCGACGGTAAACAAATCAAGGGAAAAAAATCGGAATAGTTTTGTATGGTCAAAAGTTTATGTACGCCTCCATAATCGGCTTTGAAAACTTCAAATCACTTTTTTTTTCCAAAAAACCCAACATGAAATATTTCAAAACCATCACAGATTTGATTGTTACGATCAATACTACACGTCGAATGAGAACAACGCAAATTTGAGTTTAGTTCACTCATAATCGCCAAAAGTGCAGGAACTCAGCGATGAGTAAAATTTGTCCCATGGTTTCCTGTGGAAAACCTAAAAAATCTGCCGGAAAATGAGGAAATTAACGTAAATTTTATTCAGTCTCGGAGTAGTACAGTACTGGGTGAATCCAATCTTTACTTTTCTCAAATTCGCGAATTTTTCCCTGGAAAATCCTGGAAAACCTGCACGGGAAAAAAAGAGTTCCCATATTCGTGAACTACAGCCGTGAACCATAGTTCACGGTGTATATATGAGAAAATTTTGTTCTGGATAGTTGGCCGTGATTTTTAGTTCACGGTCCGTTCCCGTTTTCGGGAACGGATTTTTTTCCGAGTGGGAAAACATGAGGCAATTTAACTCACCGCTGAGTTCCTGCACTTTTGGCGATTATGAGTGAACTAAACTCAAATTTGAGTCGTTCTCATTCGCCGTGTAACATCATGTGATAAGGTACATGAATGTTTTAAAAAAAGTGCCTTCAGACCAAGTAGTTTGACTCATCAAATTTCATGAAGTTAAGCTTCTGTAGCGAGCCGGCTCTCAACTTAATTTTCTAGATACACTTCCACAGTTTTTAATTGTCTCCAGCTTGGTAATACCGTACCTTTACTGACTAGGCTATCTGATGCCCTATATATGTAAATGTGGCAAAGTTCAAACATAAATAAAAGTAAATCAAAAGAAAGAAAATAAGCGAATACAAATTTAACAAGACTATTGATAGGGGACCGACTCAATACAAAACAAAAAGTTGATCACACTTCAAAAAGGACTTCAAAGTTACAACCTTGTTATCATTGATTTTCCGCTTCGTAAGAAATAAACAAAGCTTCCCCACATTCTCCGTCTAAGGATTGCAAGCCGTAACAGTAAAATCGAATAAGATAACGAACTAACTTGCGCTCACCGTCTCCATGGTTGTTGTTGTTGTTGTTGTTATTATTTCTTTATAAACACAGTGTACTCTCAGAACAACATAAGGTTACGGAGGTCTGCCGACGAAAGGTTAAAGCTTTAACGATCTTTTTCTCAGAACTGACCTGACCTATTGCTGCTGGGATCTCTCTGTCTGCTGCACCCACATTGTGAAGAATACAAAATGAGATGGTGGTGGTAGCTGGGTATCTACCGTGGAAAACCAGAGTGAGAGCAGAACACATTTTAATGGGTGTCATTTCGCTTTTCTTCGGGTTTGACTTTCGTTTCCCTTGGCATATTTAACACCCATTCTACCTACCTGTGTTTGCGAGTTCTGTTGAATAGAAATTGTTCACGCTGTCAACGTTGTCGATGTCCTCGTCGTTCTGGTCCGTAACGGATGATGTCTTTAATTTTTCAAACCGAGAAGGTTTCAAGGTTGTTAAAAGGATTAGTTATCACGTCAGAACGAAAATAGATGGTCGTTTCATGCTGTTTATTACTAAACTGAATCAAACTGATGGTTCCCAGAATTATGGCAAAAAATGGAGTACTTAATTGAAAATAATTCACATGTTTGGACACTGGAACCGGTTTGCGTCACGAACCGTTTTAGAAGCGCATTGACTCGAAGGAATGGAGACACCGCAAGGTGATGGCGCTCATTAAAATTTGAATGTTTCATTTCTGAGCAAGAGAAGAAGAGTGCAGCTTAATGTTTAATTAGTGGTTGCTTGTGATCTGTTGTCTACAGGTATTAAAGTAGATTTATGGTTAGTTAAAATCGTTCTTTGTCTTGAGACACTGTAACAATTTAAATTTGGCGTTCATTGGCTCTTGTTTGTTCATTACATATTCATTCGTTAATGTATATAGTAGATTTCCACACTTATATGACAAACCCATTTCACTAACAAAAACTTGTTTTTCTGCTCTATTTTCCATACTTTCAACCGTCGATCTTTTCAATTTGGATACGTCTCATCCTGATTGCTGGCACTCGCGTCAACATCGAACATCCAACCAACCACGTGCCACCGACCTTCGTCACTGCCTATGGTGCTGCTCCATTGGAATCCCTCGTCACCGTTGACGTTTGAAATGTCTGCATCGCTGCTGCTACTACGCCCGAACCACACCCCACCGTAATCGTATGACATCACATTCAACTACAATCTACCGCTTGACTGCACTTTGCCGGGATGTTTTTCGCGACTTCGATTCGATGACGGCGATGGTGGCTGCCGGTGCTGTTTTTTGGCGCTTCCTGTGTATCCATCTAATGCTAATTCATCTCATTCCCGCCGGCACTCTCGTCCTGGGTCGTCAATACCCACAACCGCACCTCCATCGTCTCGACGAATGGTGTCCGGGGACTCGCGCAAATTCCAAATCTGGATCACTGTCAACTGGTACCGCTCGTTGTGTGCGGCGATGTCCTGTACCCGGTCGAAACTAAATGCGACAACAAAAAATCAACACGAACTGTACACGACGACGACGGTTGATGTACGACATGACAACTACCAATCACACCCCTACTGCAATTCAGTACCAGCACCAACCCAACCACCCGGCACTCGATCTACTCGGTGGTAATCGGTGGGTTTTTCTATTGGACGTCACTGTTTTGCACAAATCAGGCATCGGTTCAAAAATGTATGTCATTAAAATCGATGAAAAAGGCAAAAACAGCAATTTGTTTCGCGATTTTAGGTAAGTTGCCCCACAGCGGCGCTACGGCAGCCGAAATAAAATATCGTGTGGCTGCACTGATTCTGAAAACGGGAAGCAACAAATCCGCACAAAAAATTAAACGATGAAGCTTGATAGAGTGGCGTAAACTTTTTGAACTGAAAAATGCCTAGTAGTTCCAACATATGGAACGACGGTGATCCATCTCCTGATAAAAACTTTCACTGATAGTTTTTGATATATGTATGTTCTCTGCCACGTGTGTGCTTTGCGCTCGCAGCCAAGAGCTATCAGTCTCCATCCGGCGGGATGAAATTTGAAGTTATTTTTTATCCAACATGCCAGAATGGCTGCTAGAATTCAAGTAGCAGCAGTTGTGGAAGCCTTTTTTTTGCATGATCAGCAATTTATTTGCTCGAGATAATTAAATGTTTGTACAATTTGTTACTTCCCGAAAAAGCTGTTATTTTTACGCTAGTTGCACACGAGACTGATTTCTGCATGGATTCGCACTGAAATGACGTTGTTCTTTCGTTCTGTTTTATGTCTATTCTCGGTTTAAAAAATATATGCGCACTCGGAAACAGGCTTGGTGTTGGTTTTTCTGTTCAACTTCTACACGGGGCTGATGACTTTTGCACACTACACCGAATGTGATCCGCTGCGGTCGGGGCAGATCAGCGAGAAGGACCAATTGGTGCCGTTCTACGTGATGGACGTGATGGGACATGTGCCCTTCATGACGGGGATTTTCGTCGCGGGAATCTTCGCTGCCAGTCTGGGGTGAGTAGAACAGATATTATGAATGACATCTAAATAATAAGGCATTTGCAACGAACGTCACACAGGACCTTTAAATACGCCCAGATATGCTGTGAACTACTAAAAGTCTATTTTTCTCAAAAATAATTTTGGTTCAGTGCTGCCCCACACACATAGAAATATTAATGTAAATTTAGGTGCTCTGAGACTGACATATACTAGCGTCAATTTTGACATAAAATTAAGTCATAATAGATGCTAAATTCAGCTCAATTCAATTTTGAACTTTACAGTCTCGGAGCACTTTATTTTACAAGACATGTTTGTTTACGTCTCATCCTTTATGTCAAAGATGTATTCTATCACGTGTAAGGTTATGTATTTGTAACTGTGCAGCATGCAGCAACCCTTCCACATATGCGGTGGGTGGTACTGCCTTTCAACCAATTTAGCTGGTTTTCTGTAGATAACTAGTTTATGGCTGACACTGATCACATACTAACAATTAGCGTAAGTATAATGAAAGTGCGAAGAATTAGTAATTTCCATTTAATTCCCCTACCTTATTTGCTTAACCTTACGCCTATTTCGTCTACACTATACAGACTTCTTCAGTGTCTTGTACTAATACTCGACGTAATTTGTTGAAGGACAGCCGAGAAATAGCGGCGGTTAGACGGTATCAATATTTTTTTCCACTCCTTGATTCAAACATTTGTATGGTTACCACTCAGCCGGGAAAACCGGAGGAACAGGGAATTAGAAGTCCCAGATTTTTAAAAGCTGAGTCTTGAATCTCTTTACTCGCAGCCTGAGAAAATTTTCACTGTTTAATTGTATATAATTTTTACATTTATAGAAGATAGCTTTTCATTGGATATCTCTAGATAGAGCTGAAATTAGGGCGTAACAGCTGTTGTAAACAACGACTTCTCCCGATGATTTAAGAAACTCAAGGCTCGCTAGAATTCCATTTAAATTTCGTAAAAATTCGTTTAAAAATTTGTCAAAAACCATACTACAACCTTTAGGTCATAAAGTTATGCGAAAAAAAAAATCCATGCATCAAGTTAGAATTTTGGTTTTATCATTGAATAAAACATATGATGTTATTGAATTGAATGTAATTGAAATAGTTACAACTAAACCGAGCAAACTAGGTTAAACAATCAAGGAAAACCTAGGAAAACGGGTTTTTAAATTCTAAAATAGAGTTGTCAGGGTGCATTTGATACGAAAATCCTTGAAATAATAAAAAAAAAATGCCGTTGGCTATGATTTCGAGATTTCACAAATTTTCCGAGGTTCCGAATAAAAAACTCTTATTTCAGTATCCTGACTTTTTTACTTCGTCATCTTGGTTAAGGAAATTTTACACGTTCTAGATATTTTTTAAGACCTGATTTTTTAAATATTCTTTGAAGCCCCGTAGCTTTAGTATCTGTCCTAACATCAAACAATCAGGTAGCAGAACCTTGAGTTCTTTTATCAGTCAGTTGTATTTTTTTTACAAACCCGGAATCATTCAATTTCCCAGAATAGATTTAAAAAAAAATCTATATCCAAGATCATGAACTCTTTTCTATATTTTCCTACATTCCTACATAGGGTAGAGCCCTACTTCGTAATAATCGACTAATCGGTAGAGCGCATTGTATGAATATTTACGCTCATTGTTCACAAAACAAAAGAAGCGCTCCTTGCGTATTCCCTTTTTCTACGTTTATCCGTAGGAAGAAAAATACTAATGGCGTTTCAATGCGTTAGGACGGAATTGAAACTCTTAGGACGAATTTAGAATCAAGATATTAGATTTTGAACAATATCTCATCAATTTGTGGCTCTTTATCAAATCCAACGATATGTTTGGAAAGGTGAATAGGTTTAGAAGTCATCTTTGACATAAATATTCCATTTTTTATTCAAACCCGTTCAGAAAAGAGAGGTAAAGCGCGGGTTGTGCTTAGTAAGACGGAAATTAGATCAAAAACCCTATCGAAAATTCTTCCAGGCTTTTTTAATTTGTTTGTATTAGGGATCTCGAATTTCTGAGTCCCATTTTTTAATAAAAATGTCCAATAGCTCTGAAATTTATTCCAGAATCTTACAAATTTTTTAATATTAAGATTTTAAATCATAAACGCATGTTAAATTTTCTATGCCCGTGATCTTTCCAAACGGTCAAATTTTCCTAGTTCCAATTTTAATGAGAATTTATCTTAGACTACGATCTAGAACAGTTGGTTTGAGGTGCACAGAAAAAAATACTGAATTTTAACTATCGCGTAAAATTTCCCTCCGTTTAATTTTGAGCTATACTTGGCATAAATAGCGAAATCGTTTACAAGCTTGCATCGTTTACGCGAAATATCGCGTAAATTTATGTCAAATCTAGCGTTAATTTTATGTGCGCTATATCTCGCAGAAATTTACATGAATTTTTCGAACGGTGTGTAACAGAAGCTTCGATATCCAAGATCTTTAAAATATGCATTAAAATTGTCGAAATTTGTCGAAGTCCAATACTTTGAACATTTTTCTCTGCGCCTCTATTTGTATCAAGCCTAAAATTTCCTAGTACATTTCTATGATCAATCTTGCATATCCCCACTTTAATGCTAGTAACCAATTTGCGATCTGAATCTAAATTAAACTTAGTTAAAAAAAAATTAGTGACGTTTGAGAAAGTGGAAGTTGGAAATGAACCGTGCTTTTTATTATTCAATTACTACTCATTTTTCGAAAGCATACTTATGGGATCTTCAACTATTTGTTTTAATTTAAAGATGCTTGAACCATATCTTTCATATTTTTCCGATCAATAAATGTCGCTATTGGACACCTTTTTTAAATGTTCAGAAATCACTTTTTGGTCCCTAATTTCGTTATTTTAGTCACTAATGCCGCCATTATACAATAATTGTGACATTAGTGACTAAAATAAACAAAAGAATGCCCACTACCAGCCCTGTACTAATTACGGCTATAATGAGTCAATTGATGTTAAGTGTCGTGTGTTAAATCGCTGTTTCCATGTCTTCAACTTTGATTGGTCCCAATTCAGCTAATTAAAATAGGTTCCGTGAAATGATTAGTTAGTGAAATGTAGTAGTAAGAAATATAAAATGATGATTTTTCTTTAGTCTTAAATTAATATTATATCATTTGGAATGTATGTTCTGTTGATACGAAAAGGTCATTTTGTTTTGTAGTAAAACTATTCGTAATTTCGTAAAAATTGGTAGTTTTGTTCCTAATCGCAAAATATTAGACACGTATTTTTTATTTTTTCATTAGGGTGACCATTTCCGTTTTTGGGTTTTCGCTCAATACTCCTATGCGACTAGACTACCATGTGCGTCGTGACCATGTTACAATTGCTAAAAATCAATGGAGACGCATGGTAGTCTAGTTGCATAGGAGTATTGAGCCATGCTCTTCACTTTAATTCTGGGCCGCCTCTGACTGTCCTATTTGTTTCATTATATACATTCGAATCATTTTTTTTTAAATATCCAGGAAATACATTTAGTCTGGAAAAGCTTAACCAAATCCGGATGAACATAAAGCAATAGAAAATTCACAATTTTTTTCAAATAACATATAGATGTCTAGATACCCTAAACACTACATGAAATGCATTATAAATCTCAGTGGGTAAAGGTTAATTCCTTGTATGATTATGTGGGATTAAATGTTTTCAGTTCTTGTAACCAACTGGGAAGATTCCAATAGAGATTTGCATAAGAAGTATGCAGGATTTGTATTATTCCACCGCATGCACAGGTCCCGTAGTGTGGACGTCAGAAGGTTTTTTTTTTTAAAAATTTTTCAAGTAGGCACTGAAAAAGTTTGCAAGTTTTAAACGAAATACGTATCTGTTGTAGGTTTTTAAAAGTTATAGAGAAATAGTGAAAGTGATACAATTGTAGTGCAATTAAAAGAACAAACGATGTGATAAGATTAAAATTATTGACTGCTCAGGATGAGCATGAAGGTACTGCTCTGTTCAATTCATTGCTCTATCCAGACCGTATGTACCAAATGGTAAAGGACAAGGCAAAGAAAGAGCCAACAAAAACATTCAGTCACTCACGAAGGGGTGACTCACACCACTTGCTTTCGCTCACACAGCATATTTTTTTCCTTGATTTGTTTTCCGTGGGCAGCAGCTACCGACGCCAGGGCAGCAGCTCCCATACCTGGACCCTACCTATCGACCCATCAACTCATGAACCGGGGACCAACGGCTTTACTTCCCTACTAGGGACGCTTTACTAGGCGTGATCAGAGATGTTATGCACTGACTAGGATTGAAATCAGACCTGCTGGGGTGAGAGGTAATCACGCTTACCACTACACCACCGGCGCCGCTTACACAGCATGTAATTGAAGCATTTTTCCATAGAAAATGTACGCTCAGTCATTCCAAACAAGGATTGGGTACCATCACGGAAGAATAAACGTGCTGATTGAGCTACTGACTGAGTGCTCTGCTTTCAGTGACTCGTTTGCTTCTCAATCATTCAGACTCTCACGAGGCAGTGAATGATGAGGCGGATGGCTGTTCATATTCATGTGAAAATGACTCATTGAACCTGACTGTTTTGCGCACTGCTCGTGAAGGTTTTATAACGACTTCAATCGCCGGTTTGTCATAACAGCTAGCGCGCCCACGCAAACTATCACCACAGTCAGGTAGGAGAAAATTTCTTGCGCTACAAAGTGCTAGCGAAACAATATAATATGGGTATTTTGACGGGTTTGTGTTAATAATTATAATATTGTTAGAATGATTTAAAAAACTAAGACTCATTAGTGTTTCACTGACCTAAGCAACAAATAACAAATGTTTCAAAAAAATCGTATCTCCCAATTAATAATTAATATTAGTACTAGTATTAGACCCCAGCAATCACTTAGCCAAAACTTGCAAACACTAGTATAGCCATGGTTATCATTATCAGGAGCTGTCCACAAACCACGTTGACTTGTTTGAGAATTTTATGCATCGCAAGATG